AAAGATCTCCATTTTTTGTTCTTTGTCGTATATCCTCACATTTGTATTTAAAGCATGAATGGAAAATAAGTAATATTGAAACTTGATTGGAAAAACCTTTAGACTGCAAAGGTAGAATGGTGAATAAGACTAATGACCATATGGTGAAGGGTTTATTTGCAATAATAATGCGATTTTGACAAAATTGTAAACAAAAACAGCATGTTTTAAGCAAATATCATCAATTTAATGTATTTTCCATGTAAATGTATCGGATAATATAATAATCGCGCAACATCACACTTTATTTATCTTGGTATTGTTGCAAACAGTCATCTTCCATGTGTTTATATAGAAAATTCACCTTCTATAATAGCCGTTATTACAAAATTAAGAAACATTAACTAGGAAGTCGTAATCAATTATGGCAAATTTCTCATGTGCAGGGAACAATGTTTGCCGGTACTTGACCTAAAAACACATGATGAGTTAACAACTTGGGAGTAGATCTTCTAATTAAATGATTTTAATAATTTTCGTTCTCTTAGATCTACGTGAACAAACATAATTAGTTAATTCTTAATATTTTGATTGATAGTCATTTGGTTTATGTAGACAATACCATGCATGCTATACATCTAACAAATTATAATATTACTGTTCTTTTGGTTATGTAAAATGATTATATATTTTGTTATAAACTTATAATGTTGCCATTCGTTTTGTGAACTTAGAGTCAATGTCAAGAGTAAAGTTCATAATCAATTTTGAGTTGCTCATTCTTCAAACTCTAACTTTATAGTTTTCAAATTTGAATGTTATTTAGAATACGAAGTCAGAATCCATTTACAATGTTACAAAAAATAGGTATAATTATAATATATTATACTTCTTTATCAAACGTTTTTTTTTCACGTAATCTAATTAAGCTAATATCACAAACATTAACACAATTGATCAAACTATAAAATACTAAATAAACATGTGATATTCATATGTTATCATGCTAATAATCACTTGAAATTTCATATATTTATATGAAAAGCATTGTTACGAATTATTAATTTCACTAAAGTAAAATTCTCATCTCACCGTTCTATGGCTCCTATTCTTTCAATAGATCGACATATATCTTAATAGTTACGCGCGTCTTATGCCATGACACAAGCTAACTCTATTAACCTGACAAATGGGATAAGATCTTGGAGAGGGTTGGAGAGAAATATAAGAGCCCTAAAACAGTTGTGGAGTCGTGGGTCGAATTTCAATCGAATAGAGGCATTGTTGGTTGGTTTACGCCTATTAAACTCGATTTACTATATTCTAATTAGTCCCATAAAGGCATTTGAAAAAAAACTCCATAATCTTCTTTACTTAAAGTCCTAACATTTTGTAGCTTCACTTCCATTATATTTACTGATATTTCTATTCGATGGGACAAATTATAATTAGCCAAACAGCTTCATCTTGATCTACATTATATATAAAATTTGCCAAATAATTTACACGAACGTCTCCTGATATTTTTGAAGATTCCGTCAGTTTGATGTATATGCTTTTACAATACGGAAAACCTAAAAAGAAAGAAAAGAAGAGCTTAGGAAAACGCCCAAAATAAAGAGATGATTAAGAACGCGTTTCGCTAGTTGCTATTTTGTCAGCTAGTGTCATGTTTTTTCTTTTGTATTCCCACGTATGACATGCAAAGGTATTTAAGGTTGTCCAAATAATGGTTTGTCGTTATCTAATTTGGTATGTTAAATCAGGGTAAAAATGTCATTAGAGTCCCGTAAGGATTTTTCCAATCTTGATTAGTCCTCTTTAGTAAGCCTCAACAATTGACCATAATTTCAATCATGTTACGAAGGTGATCAAAAGACAAATTTTCTTTTCTTGTTATTGTTCATTTTTTTATGATGTTACACACGAATGTGACAATCACGGCACATTGTGTTACGAATATGATGTGATACTTTTACGAATAATTTTAGCATTCATCAATTACGGTAAAAAAGAGAGTTATATTTACCAACACCTAGTGCGTAAACGTCTAATTGGAATCTAGGCAATTTAATAGACGGTCTAAACATTTTACAAAAATATATAATATATTTTATATATGTAGTTAAAAACCATAATTTATAAATAATAAAATTTATATTATATTTATATTCATCATTTTATAACATAATATATAGAATTTTTAACAAAAAAAATATAATATATAGAATATTATGATTTATACATAAGAAAATTTATATTAATTTATTATTATAATACTATAATATGTTCTTCCTCTCAAATTCAACGTTCACAAACATGAGTATCTCTTCAAGGTTTTTTCTCAAGTCCGGGAGAACCATAACTCAGGTCTCCCGGAATCTCCTCCGTTCTCCCGGAATCTCCTCCGTTCTCCCATGACTCTGGCCGAATCGACTGTCTCTCCGAGTCTCTTCCTCTTGGCGTCGAGAGTCTTCTCTACTTCTCCGACGACGACGATTTTGGCTCCGACGCAGAGTCGTTCTCTCCCGACGACGACTCTGGCTCCAACTCAGAGTTCTCTCTACTCTCTGGCTCATAGGACTCTGTACTCTACTGTCGCCGCTCCAATGCTAAGTCGTTCTCTTTCGACGGCGACGAGTCTTCTGTACTCGATCCCGAGTCGGACTCCGTACTCGACTCTGACTCCAACGACGGCTTCTCTGTATTGGAGTCGGACAACTCTGGCTTCAACGAGACAGATGATTCGTTTTCTCTTCTCTGCGGTAACTAAAAGATACATTTATTCAATAATAGTTTGAAGGATAAATTTGATTGATTTCGACTTAAATACTGTTTAAATATGGATATTAACTAAACACTTTTTTTACAAGTTATTTTGAATTAGACCAAAACAATGCCTTCAAAATACCAACGTTCAAAAAATAAGATATCAAAATGTAAGATAGAGAAAGTTCGATGTGAACAAAACTTTGTAATTGAGAACTTAATAGAGAAAGTTGGATGTGAAGAAAACTTTGTAATTGAGAACTTAACCCATATGTTTTTGTTTTGAGATATGTGAAGGTTTTAAGATCGACTTTTGTACAACGATTGTACATACTTAACACCTCTACTCGACATTGTTGGCACAATGAAAATAGTCAATTTAGATAAAACTTATTTGAGGCTGAAGGAAAATGTTGCAAAACTTGGGGTGATTGGCTAGGTGAAGTTACAAAACTAAGTGTTTAGTGAAGTTCAGCGATGGATCAAGTTCTTGTTTTCACAAACACGCTTGAAAAGTATTTGAATACTCCCTACTACTGTGGCCAAACCCTCATATCTGTAAATGAAGCTCGAGCAGTTGTCAAGAGTCAAGCCGTTGACAAAGGTCGACATAGAATGGTTGGTTAGAAAAAGGTTGGTTTTTAAATTGGGAGGGAATGTACCACCTTCAACATTTCCAGCATATCATGTGGAACTTCTTTTACCTCCCAAGATTGGAAATGATAAGTTGGTGTCGGGGAGTAGATGTGTACTGAGACGAGAAGAATATTTAGTAAATGGTTTCTACCCTTGTGTAGTCAGTGTTCTATGGAAAAGAAGAGATTATCTCGAAGAGTGGGATTCGAGAGCACTACTGCATGTAAAAACAGTAGCTGGTGGTGGTTTCTTTGACGATGAATATTAGATTGGGGAAGTGGTTGCTCGCAAAGAGCTAGATTTTAGCCTCCCCTATTTTGGCTTTGTAACCCAGGTTGGCAGACGAGATGTGCAAGTTACTTGGCAAGACGAGACCATTTCAACGGTTCAGTTTGGTGTTTTTTTCCTTTAAACTGTTTTTAATGAGGTTTAGTGATTAAACTTTTTTTTTATCAGGAATTAATTGGACACATCACCGGCTTCGAAAGTGAAAG